TTTCTCACCTTTTTACTGTTAATATATTGGTAAAATTTTTTGGGGTTCTTTTTACTATCTGCAGCGATATGCTTTTCGCACTCAGTTTTAGCTGCCCGGATTTCTAGTTTGCATTTTTTGTTACATTCTTTGTAGTTAAGGAACGCCAATGCCGTCCCCTCCGTCTTATATTTTATAAATGCCGCTCTCTTGTCCTTGACAGGTTTCGTCCTGTCAAATACTGCTTCGGGAGGTACATTGCAGTGCCATTCATTTCAATGATACCCCAAACGCGCCTCCCAACCAGTGTGATCATCCACACTAGAACGCACAGTACCACAATGCCATGCGTTCCAGTGCAGTGCGATTGCAAAGAATTGTGCATTTAGTTTTAATATGAACTAAAATGTGCTTGTAACACTGCATTTGTGTGTCTTATTTTAAATTAAGGATGGTATTTATTTAATCCGATCCAGCCAACTAATCAATTATGAAAATAATCATTAGTACCAGCACTAATTCTATAGTTGTTGTCAATGAAGCTGGTTTATTAAAAAAAAAAAAAAAACACAACACACAACAGTTGGCTCTTGGCTTGGACAGATTGGCTCCTGAATTCCATATCAAATTTGTCCATCCATGTCTTAATCTATTCAAAACGAAAAAAAAAAAAAAAGTTTTGGCTTCAGTCCAATTTTTAGTTCTCAAGAGCTAAGGCCGTGACACACTCACACGAAGAAGCGCGGGGCGGTGGTCGCGCGCTGCTTTTGCGAGCAGTGTGTCATGTAATTTTCTCCTCGGCAGCTCAGCTTGCGTAGCTGAGCGTGCCGAGATGAAAAATGTCATCTTCAGCCTATTGGCTCGCGCGTACAAACCAGCGAGTTGGCATGCGACATCTGGCTGGTTGTTACAGACGAGCTGATTGGCTGAAAGTGCAGTCGATCAACTGACTGCACTCAGCTCACACACTGCACGCAAAGCTCCGTGCCGGATAGCTTTGATTCGCTCTGCACGGCTTTGCGTGCAGTGTGTCACAGCCTTTATACTACATGTGCAGGGCTTGAAAAATCCACTCGTCACAGACGAGAGGAAGCTGGAGCCGGACAAGTAGCTTCCCGGCCGGCCGTTGTAATTAAACGGCCGGCCGGGAGCTTTATATTCAAGCTAGAGACGCCCCATCACTTGTATTAGTTGCGGTTATGCGGCCCCCCGTCACTGCCGTTGCCGTTCCCGAGATCAGCTGTGCCCTATGCGGCCGGGACCGGCACGGCTGCTCTGTGACAGGAGATCAGTAGGGGATCTCCCTTTGATCTCCTCTCCAGTCCCCCGAATGCAGGAAGTGATGTATATTACATCACTTCCGCATTCAGCTGTCATTCCCAGCTACAGAAGCTGGGGAGAAGCTGGTGAAGCAGATCTCTGCTTCATCAGCTTCTCTGGGGGTCCCTAGGTGACATTAGGGGTCTTGGAGACCCCTGATGTCTCCATAAAGAGGACATGTCATGTAAATTGGCTGTGTGATAGCAATAAAGTTATGTGTAAAAAAAAAAAAATTTAAGCAGCATAAATAATAATTTTTTTTTAAAAAACACACAATTTTTAAGTCCCCCGCCCCCCACATACACACACAAACATGCGTCGGGTGCACCTTTGTGCAAAAACGACGATTGCGCCCATTGTGCTGCACAAGTTACATATCACCGCGAACGTCGGAGTGAGAGCAATAATTCTCGGGCCATTAATCACTGATAACACTAAACTGATGAGCAGTAAAAGCATTTAAAGCGTCGCCTATGGCCATTTTCAGGTGTGGTCGTTTTTTTGTGATTTTGCGGGCGCGCACAATTTTAAGGCTTGACATGTTTGGTGTCTATTTACCCGGCGTGACCCTGTCTTTTATATTTCACCAAAAATATGGGTAAGAATAAATTTGTTTAACATAACTAAGGTAAAACATTTTTTTTTCTCTCTAAATTTACGGTACTTTTTTCATTATATAGTAAAAAATAAACACACCCCCCCAGTGGTGATTATATACCACCAAAAGAAAGCTCTATGTGTCTCAAATTTTTTTTACCATAGATTGCAAGGCAATAGTCCAG